TTTCTTTTTATGTTCAGTTTTTATCATTAGCTGAGTGAGATTTCTCGTGGTCTTCCTCAGTCCCTTTAAACAAATGCTAAAATGGCACCTCGAGTACGCAACGACCGCTTCCTTTCAGATACCTCATGTAAATGTAAAGTTGCCCCCTGTGTTTAAATAATTAAGCACTACGCCATGAAGATGTATGGGGGAGTGGATGTATAGATCCACATTTTCTCGACTTCCGTACTAGTTGGAAGTGAGTGAACAGCTTCAAGCCCCGGCCGCTTTACCGCCAGGGAAAGAGCCCCCGGTGTCCATTTGATAGGAGGCTGGGTGGGCCCCAGAGCCGGTTTTGATCATGTGAAGAGAAAATTCTTGACCCTACCGGGACTCGAATTCCAACCCCTCGGCCGTCCATCCCGTAGCCAGCCCCTGTACCGACTCTGTCACTGATGATATAGCGAGTTATCTTGGGACAACGGAAGAAAACGTGAAGTTCCTGGCCTAGACACAGTGTATCACATAGCCGGCCCAAGAATAGCTTGGGGAGCAATTTAAATTGCACATTAATATGAACTGAGTCCAACCCCGCCGACCTAGGTGCGTACAATCCAACGTCCTTGGTCCTTTCTTAATATACAACGTTCCAAGAAGGAAGGTTGGAACAGGTGGGGTGGTTTCTTTGGCGGCTTCTTAGGGAATCCTATTTGTGTTCATCGTTAAACGTCATAAAGGAGTCAGGTATCCCTGATACAGACGGTTCCCGCCCACCGCCCTTTAAGTGAGAACCTTTCGTTGAAACTATTGGAAGCCGTGGACTCCTGACAGCAGTGTTGCTAATACAGTAAAATGTTTCAGGAACTGTTCAGATTAAAATGCTGGCCTGTAAAACCACGTTTTCGCATGCTATATGAGTGCGAAACACCGTGTTGCATTCCGATGGTGTAGGGGGGAGATTGCAAGTACCAGTAAATAAAGTGTTCGCTATAATATATAGTCTAATAAAAAAACTCAGTGGCCTATAGTCCGCAAGCGAACTATGCCGACCTAGCAACCGCCGCTTGTCGGCGAAAATAGTGTCAACTTTAGCGGATAGATGGTGTCATGTGGTCAGCGCAACGGATCCCCACAGCCGTTAATTTCGGTTTTCTAGACCGGAGCCGCTATTTCCTTGAAATAGCTCCTCAATTATCCTCACGAGGCTGAGTGAACCATGTTCCAGACCCACTACTTCTCGGAAAATCTGGTAGCGCCGGGAATCGAACCCGGGACCTCTGGATCTGTAGCCAGATCGGTCGATATATTTGGCTTGTGGACTCAAGCCACGGAGTGTCTGTCGAAAAGATTTGAGAGCACGTCATAACTGAAGTAGGCAGTCTTATGGAAGATTACAGGTCCTGTGTGTTCGTTTGTCAGAATCTAGTAACTTTCTAGTAACTTAACGATCTATGTCACTATTTCATGTTGAAGTACCTCCAAAGATGTCTTAGACAAACAAAAAATAAGACAATTATCTGTAATCAGATAAATCTTACAATAAGTTTACTTCATGGTTCTGCAGCATAGTTCAGTGGATCATTTAAATTATGCATACAAGAAAAAAAAAAGCCGGTTTCAGGATTCGATCTGTGAACTTAGTAAATGACAAATAAGCACTAAGAACCGTGCTATTTTATACAACATATTAACGAATGTGTAACACGTGTTGTCAGTGAATCTCTCTCTCTCTCTCTCTCTCCAACAGGTGGCGGGATGTGAGTGGGGAGGCGGAGCGCCTGGATGTATACAAGCCCGGCGCCATGTACTGTGTCCGTTCATTGCTCGTCCCGGGCAGCGCTTCACTGGCGGCGCAACATTGTTGCTATGATAGGTAAGTTGTCTGACAGTCACAGTGTGCGCATGCGTCTGCCGTTATATTTTGAATACGGCCAGAAAAGTGTAATTGTCTAGTCCGCTTTTGGGCGAAAATAACAATAAAGAAGAAGCTTTATAGCAGTGGTTTCATAAGTGGGTAGCGCGTGTAGAACGAATGGGGGAGAAGAGGAATGCATATAGAATTTTGGTGGGAAAGTCAGAAGGAAGGAGACTACTGGGAAAACCAAGGTGGGTGGACAATATTAAAATGGATCTCAGAGAGATATGATGGGATGCAATTGATTGGATTCATCTAGCTCAGGATAGGGACCAGTGGAGGGCTCTTGTGAACACGGTAATGAACCTTCGGGTTCCATAAAATGTTGGGAAGTTCTTGAGTAGCTGCAGAATTGGCGGCTCCTCAAGAAGGGCTCAGCTCCATTAGGAAGTAAGCAAGGGGACTGACAAGTTGAATTTCCGTCTATATTTTTATTTATTTTGTTAATTTCTTGAGAATTTAAAAATTAACAAAAGGCCGCATTGTTAAAGATATCAGAGTTCTGAATTGCGGGCTTTGGTTTTCCCACTCCAGAATTAAGTGGACTCTTTCATATGTATCTCGTTAAATATACACTAAATTGAAAACTGTTTCCAACAGAATTTACACAGCAAGACAGTGAATACTTCATGTCATCACATAATTTTCATACTTGAGAAATATTTTACAAATTTGGTAACATGTGGCTTTTCAGACTACATGGTGTCACAGACCAGAAGTTTCAGTCAGTACAGTTCAAACGTCAAATTTTAATGAGATTTCTTCCATTTTAATACTGTAGGTACAGAAGGCTCTTAACCCGGGGTTCTGGCGCAGGTACCCCGGATTTTGTGAGCCCAGAAGTGTCAGTTTCACTGCATGAGAAGATTGACATTCTTCCCTGGAGGCTTTGCAAAGGCGACTTCACCAGGTAACTTCAACAGTTTCATTATGACATACAATCGAATAATAGTACAAGCCAATTAATGTTATTACTTTGAGCGTAAAAAGGTAAAGCTATCCCTGTAACAGGCGTTGGAGGACAATAGGGTTGTGAGACGTCGAGGTTCCCACATTTTCTAGATAGTTGGCTCACAGATGGCGGTGAGGTTGTAAGCCTTACACGCCGGCTGCCCTTTACCCCAATCAAAATTCGTGGTACTCATTTATGTTTGACGGTGAATCGACCTCACAGTGTGGCTTGAAGGATGCGGTTCATTGACAAATCCAGAGACCTCATCAGGAATCGAATCCACGATCTTTCGGCTTGTAACATAGTGTCTCAACCAACTACGCTACCGTTGAAATTATGCTCGAGGTACGCACAGAAACTAATGTAAGTATTCATGTAGACTGTCCGTTATTTTTGTCCGTTTTAACTTAAATTGAAGCGTGCATGGAAAATTTTGGTAGAACTCCTCAGTACTAAATTTCATGAAAATCTGTTCATCGGTACACAAGTTGTTTCATAGATACAGGTGGACAGCTATGTCAGGGGCGCTCCGCAGGGTTACGAAAGCGCCCAACATGATGAAAGGATTATGCAAGGGAATGGTAGTCACCCGTCTTATCCTTAAATCTGACGATGAAGAAGATGATAAGCACTTCTTCTGATCATTGTTACAAAAAGAAACTCCGTGGCCTGTAATCCGCAAGCAAACTATACAGACCGAGCGACCGCCGCTTGTCAGCGAAGTCAGTGCCAACTTTAGCGGCTAGAGGGTGTCACGTGGTCAGCGCAACGGATTCCCACGGCCGTTAATCTCGGTTTTCTAGACCGGAGCCGCTATTTCCTTGAAATATCTCCTCAGTTATCCTCACGAGACTGAGTGGACCCCATTCCAGAGCCACTACTTCTCAGAAAATCTGGTAGCGCCGGGAATCGAACCCGGGACCTTTGGATCTGTATCCAGGAACTCTGACCACAAGACCACAGAGGCGGTCAAAGCAACTTCACATTAAGAACTAAATGGAGCACGTCACACGTCACGTCAATTGGAGGTAATTAGCTTCGCATTAGTTTACTGACATTTTTGTCGCCAAACGTTGGCAACCAGCGGGATGGCGTAACGGTAATGATCTAGACTCGGTACGCGTTTCGAGTCTCAATCGAGACAGTGGCTATACTGAGTGAGGGTTTTCGCAGTCTTCTTCGGTACTTCCGGGAAAATGACAGAATAGTACCTCGATTATGCTACAAGTGCCTCCTTCCATATCCTTTCCACTTCATCAATCATACCACATGACGCTATATAGTGACTGCTGAAATTATCGTAAAATAGCTAACAGAGAAGATAAGTTGGTTAAGCAAACTAAATTATATAAAATAAATATTTTTAAAATGATACACTTCATCATTTGTATGCTTATATCAGTGATAGATTCTAAGGCCAGTTTCGATTATTTTGGTAACCTTGACTCATCAATAATATTTGGAAGAACTTGTTCATGAAAATAAGTACAAGACATGCTGTGTTGCAACAGTGTATGCATGGTAAATGCTTACAGGAAGGATCAATAAGTTTGATCCTTTCTCACTGAATGTGATTTCCAGCATGAGTGGTACAATATTTAAAATAGAAATATATTTAGACTTTCCTGTGTTTTTCATCTTTTAGGTACAACAGAGTTCGGCCACCAAATAATGGAAATAACTGTACAGCAAATCCCAGTGAAGAAGAATTCCTACAACAAGTCCAAAATGCGCAGTACTTTTAAAATTTGAGTGTCATGCGATTTAAAACGTAATTCTCATTTTGTTCTTAAAGATTACTTGTTACAGCCAAACAGAAAATTCTTTCTTCTTCTAGAATATCCGTACCTAAATTTCAGTCTAAACCATACTGAAATATCAGTTACTCTGGTAACTGGATATTTTCATTGTACAGGAGGTCAACTCACTATTTTAGTTTTTAGTGTGTTTTCATGATGTACCTGGTTGGAATGTTGGCCAGTCTATGTCCTTATTTCATTTTTATTTTTCTCACCTTATTCCTGAGATTTTGTATTTTTAGTTCATCAAGAAATATTTAATTTATTTTATTTAATGAAATATTACAAGTGTATTAAATATATTTCACCTTCACTGTACTTTCCTTTCCTTCTCCCATGCAGACTGTCTGCTATACTGAGTGGCGTTCATGTTTCAGCCTTCTCTTTCCACCCTTACGGAAACATTTTCATTAATACTGTGGCGTACAGATCTGTTGCTAGTCAGTAACTCTGTAAACAGCGACCTTTTCTGGGCAACAGCTAGGTAAGCATGGTTCCATTGCTAGGAAGCAGATTCTTAATAATGCAACAGTTGGACTACAACAGTGGAAGTGAGGTGTTTTCTATGTGGTCTGTGCCGAGATGTTATCAGCAAGGGACAAAGTTAGTTGAGAGTTCAGTTAAGTTCCATATGGGAGGCTTTGGAGATAGGGCCTCAGCATGTGAAACTGAAGAATCTCCAGTGTTGTAAGCCATTGCCAGGGTAAGGCTGGTGAAGACAGCTGGCTGAAAAAGGCTTAGCGGGTGCTGAGGTTATTTGTGAATTTTGGAGCTTAGCGGTGGCGCTGTTCTTACTTTGACTTATGAGTGTGTGCATAACTGGTCAATAAATCCATTCACCAATCCAAACACCATCTATAGTCATCCCTATGTGTGACAATATGCTATATCAGTGATGCCTAAATTGTGCCCCGCAGAACTCTGATTCCCATGAGATATTACCAAGTGTTCTATTGATTAAGTTCTGTCATGTTGTTCAAGAAGTGAGTTAAGATTTCATGTAAAGAATTTTGATTTAATCATTACAGACATTAAAATGAAAACTGATATAAATGTATTAATTTATATTAACATGAAATTAATATTATCAGTGCAATTTTTTGTCATTAATACAGACAGCTAATTTAATCTAAGACTTTTATTTCACTAGGGAATCATCAATGAAAGCTATAATTATTGACTTTCTGGACATTATCCATCATTCTATTTATTTATTTAAAAACGTTTCAAGGGAATGACTCTGTCCCCACTGTTAGGTAAAAGCCTGTTCAATTGGGCCCAATCAATAGAGCTAGTCCCTATTTCCGAAGGTCTGGAAATAGGAACTAGCTCTATTGATTTGGCCCAAACAAGTAGCCTTTTACCTGAGGACAGAGACAGAGCCCAGTCTCCAAAACGTTGTTTTTAAATAAAAAAAAAAACAGGACGTTGGATAGTGTCCAAAAAGTCAATAATTGTATTAATATACCATCGTCACAAACTTGTAGATCGTATCAATGACAGATTTGACTCCATTTTGTGTGTGTTTCAGCTCAAGCAACAAACTATAAATAAATTCCTTGTTAACACATACAAAACGAATTCTGTCCTCAAGTATGTATAATATTATGTTGTGACCTGGTTCATGAGTTTAAATACCAAATTTCTGAATCTCTTTCTAATCTGGATGATTGAATTCAAAATTTGAGGATAAGTTTTAGTAGGTTTTCATTTACATTATCTAACATTTAAGCGACTATTGTACGTCTTTAAAGTAATGAGCCTCAGTCGGAGGTTTGTAAGTTTAGTCTCTGATCATTACTAGACACAGACTTTTCTGTGCACATACCAAAAATATGCCTCAGCTTAGGACTACAAAATAACAGCCTTCATGCTAGTTCAAAACTTCTTCTGTATATTCCTGCTGCCGGCCTCACCCTTAAAATCATTTACAACCATCGTCATCAAATAAATAAGATCATAACTGGAAGAGTTTTCCACAGATCAGAGCAAAACATTGCAATGTTAATTCATATAAAGGCAGTACTACAGAAGCTTAAAAAGAAATCAATAGATTTTACAAAACAAGTGTAAGAATTACACAAAGGAAAAATATCAAAATAATTTCAACATAACATGTATGTAATGTCAAAAACTGTGTGATTATGTAAGATAAGATAAACGTATATTACAAGTACAATTTTAATGAGTGAACATAGTCATTGGAACAATGAAAAATGTTTAGTAACAAAATGAAAGGGAAAGAGAATCAAGTTCAGTCCACAACGAAATTCCTGCATTTTGAATCAGTCATTAGATACAAGCTCTTAACCCTTTTCTTCCTAGTATTCAATGCTGGTTACAATGGAATGCTGTGTCCTTGGGTTTCACCTGTGAAGATAATGTGTTGCTTCAACAGGAGTCCTTGCACAAGGACATCATTTAAGGCCAGGACCCACTTTCTTATCTCTTAGCATACTCTGCTTATATCTTGTACATTCAATGTTAATAAGTGTACAATGGCACACCGTATACTATACATGAAACAATGATGTGTGAATATGTAGCTACTGATGTACTTTTTGTAAATACTAATGAAGAATTCTGTAATAAAAGCTGAAAATTCTCCACAATCCTGATCAGTATGTTTGCATGTTTTCTTTTTATTGTCTTGTTATTACCAAGAAATAATATAGACGTTTCTCTTGCAAGCGAAAATGGATTTAATACACATAGTTCCTGCCCCCAGTAGTGTGCAAGTGGTGAGACTTGAAAGACAGCTCGCTGAGTGGGATATGAGATCTAAAAAATAACGTCTTTCAGCTTTTTTTTTTAGTTTGTTGCTCTAATAGGAGAGCCTGTTTTGTTACTCATTTCTACTCTATGTTGTGATATTGTGCGGTTTCTGTGAATGGTGGGTAGTTACTAAGGATGCCATGTTTATTGATAGTGTCGTGTTTTGTCTCTACTATTGTAAGGCTACGGTTTTTGAAAAAATGACTAGTGGGATACAAGATCCAAAAGATTGAAAATCACTGTCGTAGCACACACATTCACGAAGAAATTAACTGAAATGTCAGTGTTTACAGGAACATCACACAAACAACCCACATACAGATTAATCTAACATTATTTTCTAATGTAGAAAAATGTTTAACTCGCAAATAGGCATTCTCCTAGAAGCTATAATTTTGTAAGGTTCATCATTAATTCGCATGACCTTGGTTCAGTCTAATGGAAATCACTTACTTGGAAGGTGTATCCAGTTACTTGGATATTTTCCATGACCTGTGGGCTACGCTGAGAGAACTTTATAAATTGTTCTGTGTACTACAAGAACATTTTTAATGGGCATAATCGAATAAAAATTACCATATTATTACAAGATTTTGGTGGGTATTTAATAATTCGGTAACTTTTATTCGAGTATGCCCATTACTTGATTTAGGGAGAAAGCGACATTCTTGTCTTCTGTAACAAAATAAGAGACGAAAAGAAAGCATATACTGTGGAAAGATAATAGTGTTGAATCCATATGTGTTTAAACGTGTAAGTGTACGTCTTATAATAATAAGGAAATATATTCAAACATAAATTTGAAAATACTTTTGGCTATTCGTCCTCAGTTCACATTTCTCGTCTTTTGAATACCAACATTTGTCGATTATGAAATGAAATTTATCGAAATTCGATAGATACATTCTGCTGTTGTATTTTTTTTATTGCTAGTGGGGTGGGACTAAGTCCCTTGTACTGCGGCCACTTCTGGCCCTATTGTACCAGCCCCCGATGACAGGTGAGGGGGATTGTGGAGCAATTGGTGGAATGAAGATTGTCAGGGGAAACCGAAGTACTCGGAGAAAACCTGCCCCAGCGCCACTTTGTCCACCACAAATCCCACTTGGCCAGACCCAGGATCGAACCCGGGCCGCCGCGGTGGGAAACCAGCGACTAACCGCTTCAGCTATGGCGCGGCCATCTGCTGTTTGAAGTATTCGATATTACGCTACAGTCGATCACTAGCTGCAATGCCGATCGGAATAAGGGGTTTAAAGCAATTGTTTCTACAATCTTTCAAAAGAGGGCGGAAATATCGTATCGTCAGGTGCACCAACATGATAATATTTATGATCAATATTCATTATACTACTTCGTTATTTTGACGTATTGTAACTATTCTGAAATTAAGGGGAAAGAATATTTAATTAAAACGCTGTATAGCATAGAACATTATGTTGTCAGGACCTTCATATTCAAGGGACCTTCCTTCTTCACAGGCGTATGTTCTATTTACTGCCCTAGCCCAGGTGTCATCGTGTTTGATGGCCGAATGGTGTTTGGTTGTCATGGTTACATAAGACGCATATTTTAGTAGTCTGTTACAATCATTATTTCGGTCATGGAATTTGGTTTCGATTTCTCTCCTGGGCGGAAGGTACAAGTGGCGAGTATTTGAAATTTGCATGTGCCCTAGTTCGCATTAATATGTCTCAGTACCATGCACTCAGTTCATTGACCGCTTTTGAGTATAACTGTTGTTTACAGTCAATTACAACATTTCACATTTGAAGTATTTTATTTCGTGGTAAGATTTTTTTTGTTAAAGTTAAAAGAGCAGGCCTTTCTGTTTTGTTGACATTAAATTTCGTATTTTTACAGTCACCGCTTCAACCTCTTAGTTAAAATTTCTGTAATTTCCTCGTTCCTTCTTTTAACAACAATCTACGCCAACACGTGCCATAAATAAATTTCTGTGGTGTGAATTCAGCCAGGATATGCTTGTTAACAGGCCCCACCTCGAAGAGGCAGAAGAGCAGGCACTTCTAACACTAGTATTGGTGCATTTCCTCCAAGTCCAGAACGAGGTGACATTGGTTCAACTGACGACGTCACAGACAGTGCTGCACTAAACTCTGCACTTACATCAGGTTTCCTGAATAGTCCTGATAAGGTGCTGTGAAAATAAAAAGTACTTTATCTGATTTGTTTAAGTATTAGTCGAAAGAGCTCTCTTGTTCATTGTCAAAACGAAGTGGTAATAGAACTTCCCTCCCCAAACACACGCATGTTTGGTACAGTTTTGAAAATCACGTGAAATTTCTTAATATTGATAACATCTATGCCCCTTAGTCTACATCTGCAACAGAAAACACTATAAATCTTGTCACCATCAAGAATAACAGAAATGACAACAGTGACAGAGATCATTATCTGCCACTTGTATCTGTAATATGTGCTGTTAATTTACTTTTGTAAGAAATTCAGTGCACTTGTTCTGTAATATCCACATATACTTAATACAAACACTCTCTTTCTCATATTGATTGAAATATTGATACATTTGATTATAGGGACAAATGTATGTTCCTTGATCATCATCACAAACAGACATGTATCATAATGAAGAGAATAAAGCAAAATAATGTATTCTCCTCACACTATATTTTATACTGATTTTATCTGACAATGCTGTTATTTACCAGTTTTACATGCTGGAAAATGAATTTGAAAATTGTCTTCAGTATACCTAATACAGTTTTGCATGTACTTGCAAACTAGCTATCTAAGGAATTGCATGTTACAAGGTCTTCTATGAATCTTCGCTTGTTAATCAGATGGCCAAGGGATTCCATGGTTTGATGTAACCCAATTCATCGTCAGTTTCACAGAATTGCACCATCAGTACTTAGCTAAAAGCAGTGCATTCATGCATGACCCATCTGAGAGTCATCCTCCAAATTATACCTAGTGGTTCCAAGAGCTCTTTCTTTCCCTTGAGGTTTTCATACCAGAATTCTATATTTATTTGTAATTTATTAATATATACACTACATACCCAAAATATCTCATGCTTCTTGTAAAGACAATGTGTTTTTAATAAGTTAGTGCTAATTTCTGATGTTCTCTAAATATGTGAGAAAGCCCAAAAAAAAGACAATGGGGGTGTTGTGTCATTTCCAGCACTACTGGCTGAACATTTCTCATACGCCACTCTTGACTACACTGCAATAAACCCATTCTATTGATTATTTTTCCCCCTTCCTCCAGAGTTTGGACTATGCAGGGCCTGTTGCTCCTCCGAGATCAAGGAAAACTGGAGGTTGGGCTGATGAAGCCATTAAATCCGGAAAGTAAGTGACCTTATTCAGCCATGCATACTAGATATATTATGTGTATCATGCAGTCATGCCAACTAATACATTGAGACTATTTCAGTAGGGAGGTACGGCCATATCTGTCTAAACGTCCCCATATTTTTACACCAAAATTTTGAACATGTGTAACGACAATACTAAAAAATCTGTGTCAAACAAAAACTGGAATTTACTCAGACTTTTTGAAAAGAATGTTGTACATCTGAGGTTACAGAAGAAGCAGTGACAACTTCTGGGACTTCTATTATGACCACAAAATAAAACATAAAGGTACCAAATGGAAAAGTAAAACACCCTTCCTGCAGAGAAAATTTTCGTAATTGATGGTTAGAACCCTGCTGATCTTTTTTTTTTATATTGTCCATTGCTAATTAGTTTCTCTTGAACACGGTCTATCAGGTATTCTACAGTCAAGCTTTTGAAATGTTTTTGGCAGTACATGTGACAAGAAGAGTCAAGAGTCTTAGTAGGACATGCGAATTTTTCATCATGATAGTGTGTTATTCCATACAGTATGTCTTTCTCTAAGGCCATTCTGTCCATAAATCCAATGCCAGTATAAGAACATCCCCATATGGGAGATTTGAGGTTTTCATGATAGTGACTTTGAAGAGTAATATCTTTTCTGCAATTACACAATGTATGAGTAGCCTAGCAGAAATATACTGATGTTCTGGAGCAATGTACTGGTTCCATCTTCAGAGTCCAAGAGTAAGCTCAGCAGTTGATTGGTTTAATCTTTAACCCTGAAGATGGAGACACTCTGTTTTTCTGAAATGTTGATAAACTCTACCAGACTAGGTGGCATCATATCGCAGAAATATCTATCTTCAACATCCTGATAGTTTCCGGATCTTTCACTGTGTAACTTTTCACATTCCTAAAACTGAAAATTTCATTAAAGAAATTTCATTTTGCATCTGTTGAAGCCATCCTGGGCAGTGTTTCTATGCCTTGCAATAATAATGTGATGTGTGTAGAAAATCTGAAGGCTACTGCTTTCTAGGTTACTACATCCAATAATGATTATTGATAAATTCACCTTTTTAACTGAACCATTGTGGTGACATTATAGTTAACCATAGTTAAACATCTGGTATTGTTTCAGGAGACGAAGTGCCAGCAACTTAATTGAACAGTAAGTATGTTTTTAAGCATTCTTATGTCAGTATAATATACTGCATTCTTAAATTATTTTTCACTCAAATTATTTTATGTTATCCAGTTTATAAGACTGCCTCTGTGGTCTAGTGGTCAGAGTTCCTGGCTACAGATCCAGAGGTTCGGGTTCGATTCCCTGCACTACCAGATTTTCTGAGAAGTAGTGGGTCTGGAATGGGGTCCACTCAGCCTCGTGAGGATAACTGAGGGGCTATTTCAAGGAAATAGTGGCTCCGAACTAGAAAATCAAGATTAACGGCCATGGGGATCCGTTGCGCTGACCACGGGACACCCTCTATCCACTAAAGTTGGCACTAACTTCGCCGAAAAACGGCGGTCACTCGGTCGGTATAGTTCGCTTGCGGACTACAGGCCACGGAGTTCTTTTTAATCCAGTTTATTAACCTAACAGTACTGGTTCCTGACTTCTGTTTGAGTTGGTGTTTACATCTAGTCACTGCCATAGAGTTTTGCAAGAAGCACCAGAAATAGCAGACATTTCTAAAAGTTTTATGGACTGTATGGTCACTATCAGGATAGCAGCGGACAAAACAAAATAACTTTTAACATTCCGATTTTTTTTTGCACTATATAACTCAGTTTCTTATAATTTTTATAATTCAAGAGGAGAATTGAGGTGAGTTTCAAATCAAATGTAAATAGATGCATATAAACAGTTCTAGTCATGCATCATGTATTATGTTGGTACAAAACACGGCCATTTTTACCATAAGTTATTTGGTAGCCTGAATTCTAGAACTGCTTGCACAGTAACACATCCCTCATGTGGATGAAAAACTTTTGGACTGATCTATCCTCCACATATCGTACCCCAATCCAATCCCCACGGATGGGTATCCTCTGCTGTTGTAATTTCCTCAGAGTATGAGTTTCAATCATAGCCAGGACAGAGTTCATGGCATTTTATTTCATATTAATTATCTCTGGAGGCATAAATCTGTCCAGGTATCTCTTGCACATATGGGTCCAGAACACTGATTTCAGATTGAACTCATGTTCATTCGTCACAGTGATCTGAAATAATGTGCATATGCTGCATGATTACCTTGATTTTTAAATTATGTAATTATCAAACTTTCATATCATTACTTACTGTAACACTGTAATTTATTATTAGCAATCACTCATTGTGTGTAAACTAACCCTTTTTGTTTTTCTATTAGGGAGAGATTTAGGGGACCTGACAAAAGTAAAGGTGACTCTGATGATGGTAAGCGAATTATACTACATATCTGAGAAAGCAGAGATCAGAGTTCAATTCCTCTACAATAATTCTGTAGCTGGATATATGAGTAAAAAAATATTTATTGTTAAGTAACTGATTTTCATTACTCTTAATTAAATTCACCTAATGGTGCTTGTGAAAATTAATACAACTTACAGGTTATAATTTCTGGGAGAACTTGAGGCCTAAGAATTTTCCTATATATGAAAGTAATTTTAGATTAAACTTTTGTGTGATTTCACTTTAAACACAAAATATGTAATTGATATGTACTTGCGTGCACCCACTCAGAGTTATTTTGAATCAGAGGTTTATATGAAAACCATACATTAGATTCTTCTACACATGTGGAAGGAAATTTATGCCCCTTTTCTTGGTAATGAAATTAATATATACAAACAATAAATGTTGCGACAAACTTCAAACTTCATTTATGTGGAAATAATATTTTTCTAAAATTGAGATTTAAATGCTGTATCATAAAGACTTTAATTTTTTCCTGCCTAGCTGAGCTGCATTTATGTAGACTAGTTTATATTTTAATTTTTACCCACATAAAACCTATTATGCAAGGTGTGATAATTTAATTTCCGGAATGGCCATAGCATGTTGCTGGGGTAAGCCAACCAAACTCACGTACCCAAGCACGTTTGGACATGGCCCAACTTTCGTTTACATGAGCCACAGACCAAATGAGTTGTTTGTTCCCAAGCAGCAGAAGAAGTGGTATGTGTCTGCAGTATATATTGTTGGCAGAAAAATGAGTGACAACAATCTGGAGCAGCAGGTAAACATAGAGTTTTGTGTGAAGATTGGTAAAAGTGCCAGTGAAACGTTAGCCCCATTAACAATGGCTTATGGTGAATATGCTATATGAAGAAAATGAATGTTTTTGAATGGCATAGATGGTTCAAGGATGGGCATGAATATGTGCAAGATGACCCAAGCAGTGGGAAGCCAGAAACGCAAAAGACAGATGCAAAAGTGGACAGAGTATGAACCTTGGTGCGCTGATCAAAGATTAGGTGTGAAACTAATAGCATTAGAATTGAATATGAATAGGTGAACAGTGCAACAGATTATTACAGAGAATTTGGGAATGAGAAAAATTTCCACAAAAATGGTGCTTCGAATCTTGACAGATGACCAGAAATACCGTTGGCTTCACATTTCATCTGATCTTTGACTCAATGCAGAGATGTTTCATAGGGTCATTGTCAATGATGAAACGTGGTGTTGTCAATACAACCATGAAATTTTCGCACCTTGTACATTATTGATTTATCCATATTGCACCATAAGGATTCTGTGTTAAATGTATCAGGGACATGGGTCATAAAGCTTGTATTTGCCTTTAGTTTGTATTTACTATCCTCCAATGCAAAGAAGGTAATGCAGTCATTAAGACCAGCCTGCATATACTGAGCAAGCCGGTAACATTGGCATAATTCTCAAATGATTCTTGCCATTGCTATTGGTACACTGAAGTGCACTGGGTAGATAAACAGACAGCAGAACAATGAAAGTTGACTAGTTCCACCCATCACTTGCACCGCCTTTTCTTAGTCAGAGAATAGTACCTCAAAGGCATGTAATTTTTAATAATTCATAATCACTTACTGACTGCCCTGGTTGATTTCTTCTAGATATTCCCATTATTCCAGAATTGGATGACTTGCAGGATGAGGATCTGGCATCTCAAATAGCTCATGCTCCTTCGTAAGTGCCTGTATATTAAGAAAATGTTGTAACTGAAGTTTATGGAACTAGTGAACTATATCTTTTTTATATATAACACATTTTTCAGGTCCACTGTGGACCGAGTTGATACATACAAGGAACTTGATTCAGATCTGTTAAAACATGCAGCATTTGCAACCCTGGATGATGTCAGTTTGCGTCTCCTTACAAAATGCCTGAATCTTGAATCAGAAGTCAAGGAGGTTAGTGTCATGCTAAATCCTGTTTATTATTCATTTACTTAAATCTGTTTTTATGCAGTGAACATTGCGATAGAGCTGACTTTCACCCTAAGAATAGATGCAGTTCTCGTTCAGTGAGTAGCAGAGACAATGCCATTTTTAGGTGCATTGTGAGGTACACTTGAACCCATAATTCTCTCATATGTATTATCATGAGTAATATTAAAAGACATCTGCATTAAATAAAATGAACTGAGAATACTTCTAATACCTTCCATACCCACATTTCCCAATCTTAATCCCCAGGGATGTTATAAAATAAAATATTTGGTTAGAATTAGAAACACTGGAAATGATGTTATTTTGGTCCACAGTGTAATTAATTTCATTACTGTCATGTGTCATAATTGCATTTTTTAAAACCAAATCGTGAGAGAAAATAAAGATTTTTGTTCTGGATGAAAAATACTTTAATGGCAGCAATAGAAGATGACAGCTTCCTGTAAATTTCTTGAGTACTCTGTGAGTACCTTGAAGTTTGTATCTCTTTTCCCAGTAAGAGCATGAAACATAACAGTGTGTGTCTGCTGTATGAATTCTGATAGTCAGACTTTCTTCTTTTTCAGGCTGACACAGCATGGACTTGGGATCTTCTGTTTACAGATGTAGCCTCTGACTTGCATTATGAGTGGGAGAATCAAACACGAACTAATTCAGACAAAGATACAGCATCAGAATGAAAAGACTTTTGTATTGTAATTCATCTTAATAAAAGTTCTTAGAGGACTATACAAACAAGGAGTAACTAAGAAGCAACATCATGGTATTTATATTGTATTTACTGCTAATTCTGCTCTTCATGTCTATGTTGGCTCTGGGAACACAGTAACATATGCTGATAAACGTTAAATATTGCCTTTGCAAGAACATTTACCTTCATCCTGATGAAAAGGGGGGATATTAACCGTAAAATTACCTCTAAGATTTGAAAACTACTCAATGCTGAAATGAAACAAAAAACCATTTCAAATAGCTTCCTCATCAACAACTATCATATGGAAACAGAAGAAAGAATTGCATAATTCTCTGAAACTATGACTTATGTCTTACAAGTACAAAACATTCAACTTGTTCTTGATACAGATATTGACAACTCAAGGAATGAGTTTTCAGTAGTATCATCCAAACTCCTTAATTCTTAATACAGTTTTTATGTTTCTGGACATTATCCATCATCCTGTTGTTTTTTTCAAACGTAACTCTTGCAGATGCTTTGTGATGTGCTTAGTTTGTGTACCCTATCTTGTGTTGGTGTATGTATCTGGAGATAGGGACTAGCTCTATTGGACTGGTCCATCTGCTTAGGTTTTACCAGAAGACAGAGACAGAATCCAGTCTCAGAAATATCGTGTTTTAAATAAAAACAGGACAGTGGATAATGTCCAGCAACACAATAACTCTATTAATATATCATTGTCACAAACTTTAAGACCTTATTCCTTAACTCTTGTGCAGATATGATTAGACAGGTCTTTTAAATTTTGTTCATCGTACATTTTTAAAATCATTAATAAACTAGTTATTGTGATTTGTTATATAATATTCCTGTCTAAATCATAATATTTTAATTGGGCTTGGACATTGTGTCAAGTTAATTTTCAATTCTGTTCTACATAATGAGGAGCTTCATAACTTGTCCTCTTTTCCAAGTATAATTAGAATGATCAAGTCAAGGAGGATGAGGTGGGCAGGTCATGTAGCACGAATGGGGGAGACGAGGAATGCGTATAGGATATTGGTGGGAAAGCCAGAAGGAAAGATACCACTGAGAAGACCAAAGCGTAGGTGGGTGGACAATATTAGAATGGATCTTAGAGAGATAGGATGGGATGGGATGGATTGGATAGATATGGCTCAGGATAGGGACCAGTGGAGGGCTCTTGTGAACACGGTAATGAACCTTCGGGTTCCATAAAATGCTGGGAAATTCTTGAGTAGCTACAGAATTGGCGGCTCCTCCAGAGGGGCTCAGCTCCATGAGTAAGTAGGTAAGTTCTATTGTGGGATGGTCACAAGGTTTTTACAAATTCTTTACACAAAGTGCATAAAATGAATGCATTATGAGGCATCAGTGTCAGTCCACATGTTTGATATTTGAAATTAGAAAATGGATTGCAGTTACATTTGGTATTTTGGGGTCTACATTGAAATTAGACAAGCGAATTTAATTTTGATTCATATTGCTCAAATGTAAATTGTACTTAACATAAAGGTTTTGACTTGACCAATTTTCATAGATATCATTCACAATATGAAAGGCATAATATGTGTATCACCCATTAAGAGCTACAAATTGTATTTGAAGCATTCTTCAATATGACGAATATGTAATGAAATACAAATAAAAGCCAAATTCTGCCTCATCTTGATTCATTTGCTTGTCTTTCTTATCTTGAACAGCATGCATACATTCATTATATACTTAGAAAATAATTAAACGTGTATGTATCACAGTCCTTCAATAATGCAACAGCTATTAAAATATTCACCATTAAAACTTAACGCAACATGTTTTGGCCATAGATGGTCATCTTCACGTGTTTCAATGCGTCCAAACTGGTACACTGCTTTTATGGGCACTAAAATCGCGTATTGCTGGCGACTTAAAATAACGACCGAAACGCGCGATTTTAGCACACATCTGCACACATGAGCACATGAGATTTCAGTAAGAGCTCCTAAAAGAAAAAGTTCATAATAAAGCCCCAAAAATACCTTCATCGGGTAAAATCACTTAATCCGAGACCGTATGCATAACAACGCCGTTTGTCTTTGTCAGCAGCCAACATTGTTTTGGATACATCGAGGTGTACGGCGTGTCAGGAGTCTATTAGATACTGATGCGTTGTTTTGTGACCTGTTATGTTTCCGCTGATACTCTGACGTTGACAGTTGGAAAAGAATTACGAAGTGATGAATGAAGTATATGTGAAAATAGAAAAAAAAATGGCATACTGCTCACTGCAGTGCCGGCATATGGAAGCGACTAAATTACCTCGTCTGACCTAGTCGAAAAAACCCCAATTTGGAAATTCGCGGTAGTTCGAGGAGTCCTGACATACTCTACCGTGCGACATGGCAACGTGAGTATACAGACTTCTGGAATCGACCACGTGACAACACGTACTGAGCAGATCTGCCTATCTCTTAGCGATCAATGTTCAGCTGTGCCATCACTAGCACAACACTTCCAACTCCACAGAGCAAAGATTTTGGTATATATGACGCACCCTTCCACCACATTTCGTCTTCAACTTTGCTAAGAATTTGTACATTTATTTCATCGACAATACGCCATAGATATGCAATGTAATATATCTAATTCATAGAATAAATTGCATTTATTTGTACTTCGGAAAGCTGTACGATAAATTCATCGCCAAAATTGTATATTTCATATCTTAAATGTTACAAACTAACATGACGTGTAATATAAGGCGACATCTGCTACGTAATATTACAACAAACACATGTCGCTAACGGCGGATCACTGAGTTCCACCAAATTGGCGCCATATTTCAAATTGAAGTTTCAGAATACTCCATCAAAATGTAGAGTTGTTATACCAAGACAACATATTAAACATAATTATTAATATACTAGACAATTAAAATGAAATACAATCCAAAATACCGAGGGAAATAATGGGTCATCATCATTATCATCAGTAATCTGTCAGACGACAGGTGCACAGTCTCTTCCAAAACAATTCCTCCACTTAATGCGATCTAGAGCTTCCTCCTTCAAATGACAGTATCCTCTTCTGTCCCCAAGGTCATCCAGCATCTTTTTACGTCTTCTTCCTCGTCTTCTTGTCACTTCTATCCGCCCCTCTATCTTTCCTTCAATAACTTCTTTTAGAAGGCAGTTTCTGCGTAAAACATGACCAATCCAATTAGCCTTCCTTTTTCTTATTTCATGTAGGATATTCCTCTGCTCACTGACTCTAATTAACACTTCTTCATTTCTCACATAATCGGTCCAACTGATCTTCTCCATCCTTCTCCAACACCACATTTCGAAACTTTCCAGATGTTTCTGATCTACTGCCCTAAGTGTCCAAGTTTCA